CCCTACCTTTTGGCCCTTTCTGGAAAGTGGCCGGATCGCTTCGATCGGAATTTCTACGTCGGGAGATCCCAAACCCTGAGGCCCAACTCTTGCCCCCTCAAGCCGATCGGCTCGCGTGGATTTTCGGGGGCGCCGTGTTGGGAGAGGTGAGCTGCTGCGTGAGGTCCTCGATCCAGCACAGCGAGTCCTACGTCGCGACGGCCCAAGCGCCACGGCTGGAGGGAGAAAAAGCCAGCTTGGGATGGGATGAAGGCCAAATCAAACAGCACTTGTTGTGAAAGAATCATCTACTGGGGATCGAACCAACTGGGCAGAAAGGGAAAAGGATGGCACTGGACGGCTTGGAGATTCCCCATTGTCGTCTTTGTGAAACGGGAGCAGTTGCCAAGCCATATGCATGGAGCCAAGCCATATGCATGGAGGATCTCCCAGTGGTTGTGAAGACCTTGGATTCCCTTGAGCCCCTTTAACAGCCAGCATGAAACCATCGTCCAAAACTGGACACTGATTTGTGACCCCTATGAAAGTGAGAGACTCTTTCACTCTTTCACTTTAGCTCAACGCTTTCACGGAGGTAGCCTCAAAAAGCAGGTCACCTAGAATCGCTCACCCCCATCCGCACCTTCTGGCTGAGAAGCTCAGCAATGACTAGAGTGATGTTCCTTGCTCGCACGGCGGGAGATTGGGTGCCAGCCAGACGACGCGAGCCGGTTGCGACTCCAAGGGTGGTCCCACCCGGGTATGCACAAAAAAGAGTGGCCTGCTCGAGATTTCGGTCGTAAATCCCATGGAACTCAAAGGAAGGTGGCATGGCACGTAGCATCTGCCCCACGCAGAAGTGTTGCTGCGGCTGCAGCAGCGAAAGTGGAAGCATATCAAGTTGTTCTCTATGGATGGAAAGCACATGGATTGGCCGCTGTCATGGAAAGGTATGCTTGCCCTGCAACAAATGAAGTTTGATAGGCTTGCCTTCGCCGCCAGAGAAGGTTGCGGTTGAGGTGTGTTTTTAGGCCCCCCACCCCCGCCCATGCGCATCTAAACCAAATCCGGCTTGGCCATAGGTTCCAGAAAGCGGGTCGGGGAAAGAGGCGATATTCTCGTGCTCGGGGTGTGGTTTCGGGCAAGTGTTAGGCGCCTGGACGGGTCTTGGGTTTGTTGGGGGTTCAGTGAGGCTCGGCAAAAGGCTGATATCCAGGGTGCTGTTGGGTGAGCAATGGATCGGTTTGGGTTGGCTTGGGGCTGATTTTTGCTAAACCTAAGGTGTGCGGCTGGCTTGGCAGTGGCCTTAGGGTTGCCTTAGGGATGAGGTTACATGAGCTTTGGGCTAGCTTTTGGTGGTTTGGGGCAACGCCCCACAACCAATCCCAAACCAGCCCCAAACTCACAAAACCACGCCCTAAAGCAACCTAAATGACATTAAAAACTAGCCGCACAACTAGCACACCAAGCCAACCCATTCCGACTCAAAGTCAACCTGAAACCCACCCAACAGCATCATGGATATCAGGCCTCAGACAACCAGCCAACCAACCAATCAACCAATCAATAAACCAACCAACCAACCAACCAACCAACCAACCAACCAACCAACCAACCAACCAACCAACCAACCAACCAACCAACCAACCAACCAACCTACCAACCTACCAACCTACCAACCTACCAACCTACCAACCTACCAACCTACCAACCTACCAACCTACCAACCTACCAACCTACCAACCTACCAACCAACCTACCAACCTACCAACCTACCAACCTACCAACCTACCAACCTACCAACCTACCAACCAACCAACCAACCAACCAGTCAACCAGTCAACTAGCCAACCAACCAGGGTTAAGCCCCTGGTTCCGCAGGATGCGAGCAAACAAAGTAACAACACCCACAAACATACACTATGGACTGAGCGCATCCTCTTGAACGGTCAAAACTCCAGCCTTCCCCAAGTGAATAGACAATTAAGCTTGAAGCCGTGCTGCAGGCCCCTGCCCACATAGACCACACTAACTGCTTCAATGTCTGAGCCAGGTGCTCTTGAGCGTCGCTATCGGCATCCTGCTCCTGGTCGCAGAGGCCATTGAGATGTGATTACCAAGCTGGCTCAAGGCCTTGGCTACTTCAAGCACAAATATGACCCGTGTAGATGTTCTTTATTCTCAGACGTTGGTCTTTCAGAATCTCGATTTTTGCCAAAATCCTGGCAAAGGCATGACATCTCTGGATTGGGGCCTCCTTTCCGAGTTGCGTGATGCTCATCTTTAAGGCCAAAACACTGGCCCCACCCTAGTCCTAGGTGCGTATTTGGGGGCAAAATAATGCCAATGGTGAATGAAGCCAAGCTGAGTCAGTGCCATCGATCTTCAACTTAACTGAAAAAAGCAAGATACCGTTTTCTGGCCCCTACTCTTGACCCCCCCATCGCCCCCCCAAATCAGTTGGACATGGGCAGGAGAGCCTGCCACCGGTTCATGAGCCGCATCATGAGGTCATTGGTTTGGAAGACGACCTGTCGATCGAGAACCATGGGCATCATATCTGCACGAATCGAGTCTGGATTATAGAGTCGCCACCTAAACCAGGAAACTGGAAACGTGCTAAAGTGACTAAGCTGCATACTGCAGGGCGGGAAGCTTGCTTTCGACAATGTGCGCAGCGGTCTTCAAGTGAAGAGGCAACAAACACGCCCTTTCCAGAGGGAGAGTAGAAGGTTTCAAACAGGTGGTGCTCTCTTGGTTTTCCTGAACACCAAACAATTCAAACGGCAAAAACCATCTGCCAAGTGGGGTCCCATCTTCAAACCGGCACACAGGGGGTCCAACAGAAAGAAAGGGGCGACCCTTTGGCCAGCTCAGAACAGCAAAGCTGTGACCCTCACAACTCACAAGGCAGGTAGAATGCCCAGCCTGCGACTGATTCTCCGCAGACAGGAGCCGTGCAAAAAGTTCCGCGATGGACCTGGATGGGCCAAGTCTCTACGGACAGCTCTATCAATCAGCCAAACCTGTTGTGAGGTGGTTTACAGTCTCATGGCTTGGGACATGACTCACCATGTCACAAGGGGTAACAAGCGCTCAGTGAGCCCAATTCAAGCTGAACCAAGCCACGCTGAGGCAAGCATTGAAACAGCCTTGACGAGGTCGCTTTCTCAACGGGGTACGGTAGCAAGGGTGCAACTCAAAGTGCCCTGTCCGTGATTTGATGCGGTCCCTGCTCACAACCGCCGGGCTCCGGGTGTGTATGTTTGAATGGCTGCTTGCGAGTTGGACGGAATCAGCCTAGCTCTGCAAGACCAACGATCACGCAAATATGCACGCCATGGTCAAAACTTCTCCTGACCATTCTGAACATGGTGCCTTTCAAAAGACCCTTTCATTTACAGCAAGGCTTGATAGCCTCCGGATGAATTTCTGGAAATTTTGGAAGGATCCAGACCATTCTTTGCGGAAACACCCATCCCCCAGACCCGAAAAAGAGCAACAGCACCAAGCAAGGGATCCCTACAACGCGTGGCCGCCTTAACGCCTCCACTTGGGTGTTCCAGCCACGTAGGTCACGACCGTGGTAAGGGAACTAACCCCAGCCAACCCATCATGCTGTGACTGAGCTACATACGAATGTTAAGCTGGCAAGGAGGGCCCGCTTAAACGCCACAAGTTGCAAGCAACTTAGACCTCCGCGCCTTCACCTTTTGGTCCCACCGCCCGGCCCAGGGCCCAAGCCTCAGGTGAATTCGGCGTAGGAACTCCTCGAGCTGATCTTTCCGCCGGATGTAGTCGAGGATCTCAGGAAACCCCGCGAAAGCTTCGTGGAGTCTTGGATGATTTCTCTCATTGGAAATCCAGATCTCAAGAAAGCCCGCGAGACGGTCGTCGAGGATCTCAGCTCTTGAAAGCCGTTCTTGGAAGATTTCTTTGAACTGAGGTACAGTAGGGGTTCTAATATTTCTCGCCTGAGATCTGGAGGCAAAGCACCGGAAAGTCCGAAGGTTGGGAACCCTGCTGTCGGATGGGCTTGAAAGGACCCCGTGAAACCAAGCGAGTGAGGCTCAGGGTTTGACACGTATCTATGTCCACCAATTCAAACCACCCAATCAAAGGCCGGTCTGCAACATGACCATAGTTCTCCTAATTTGGCTGGACCACCTGTTTAGCAAACGAAGGTCAACCTGCTTGAAAGGATGCAAAGGTCTGCGAAGAAACTCCACCTCAGGAGCGACCAACCAGCTTTTACTTCAACCCTGCTTGGTGCACAATTCTCATATTATCGGTCTGGACCCTCCACTGAGGCACAACTCGTGATATTGGTTGCTCAGCTTTCACACTAGCATCTGTTCAGCAACGTCGCAACCCCCTGCAGAAACTGAATCCTTCCTGCTGCAGCCCAAGACTTTAAAAAGCAATGTCATGATATCCTGCGACCAAAATCCCTCCACATTATTTTGCCTTATTCATGGTTTGCATGCCTAGTGTGCAACACCTCGCCCTGGACAAGTGCCGCACTTCAATTCGAGCTTCGTGTGAGGTGTGTTCAGTGGGAAATGAAAGGCCTGATGTCATCCCCCGAATTGCCTAAAGCCTAAGGCCAAGAAGCAGGGAGTCTGCTCTATTTGGCAACCCGCCCTTTCTTTGGACTCTCTTGGATCACTCTCCTCTTGTTTAAGCTGTCCACTATCTTCGATATTAGGCATTGTGGCTGTGGGCGTCCTCGTTCCTTCAGTGTTCCCCCAGTTCTGGTGAGTAAACTACAAGGGTACCCCGAATGTCTTTACAGCACGCCCCATATTTCAATGAAACCTGTGTTGATCCGTTGATAATCTCACGATTGACCAAACCCCGAGCAAAGCGTGCCCAAGTCCCACTTTTAGGCAACCTGCATCCTTCCGTCCAAAGGTCCGAGGAAGGACCGAAAAAGGAGTGAAAGGAGTGACAAGGACTGAAAGGGCAAGAACCAAAAAGGACCAAAAAGAACGAAACGGAAAAAAAACATCGACCCGTGACCCCCGCCTCTTTCCGCTGCTTCCCCAGGAGCGCAGTGGCTGTCCGAGAGAAATACCCCGCCAGCACCGGGTTCACCTGCGTTCCCACGGCGCGGGGCGGTTGAGCCTAACCATGCTCCAACACGGGGATCCCCAGTTGTTCAGCCCGCCTTGATGGGATTTCCGACTGAATATAGCCAAGCCCCAACAAGAGTTCCCTTTTCCTAGCCAGTACAAAGCCTCCTTAAGAGGTCCCCCGTAAAATGGCGAACCCCGCAGTCGGACATTGTTTGAGGCCTGCGAATTCACCGGTTCAAGTTTCGAGGGTACGTACCCATGATACATGAAACATCTTCCACATCCCACGACATGATGAATTAAGAACCCAATCAAAGAATCCCTCATCATAGGTGAGATTGGTGGGTTTTCAGGGGAGCTCCCCATACATTTTCCCCATATAGTCGGATTGGGGAAAAAACATGCTGGAGCTCTGTTCACCAGCACAGAAGAGACAGCCATGGTAGTAAGAAGTGTGCCGCCCCTTGCACCAAGGCGGGTTGATCACAGAGCTGATTGAGCCAAAGCTACCACGCTGGGACGCATTTTGCTCCATGTTGGCCAGGATCGTTCTGACAACCTTCCGCTCCCTGAACCAAAAGGCCGTGCGCGACGACAGACAAAGGGCATGCCGGCATTGGGGACTTGCTCAAATGGTCGGCCTCATGTTGGCTTCGGACATCAACACCAAATATGTGCGAAGGTGTTCAACGATTCCCCTCAACATGAGTTAACATGGGCATGTGAAGAGTTAGCCCTTTCTGTGACACCAAAGTGGCAGTGCCCCTTCCACAAAGCACATTGCTTGTTGCGCATGTCAAAATGCTCTTGGGCCCCAAAACTGGTGGTATTCCTTTGGGTTTCCGTCTGAACCAAGCTGATCAGGGCACCCAAACGCACAGATGCCCGCGCCCATGTCAAACTTCCCACTTCCAAGCCTTGGAGGGAGTCGTGGTGCTCAGGAAGGACCACAAGTGGTCCATCGCCTCGGCCGAGACGAAAACCTTCGGCTGTCGGAGCCCTGCGCCTGCCCCCATTTTCTGGAGATTTTCCTCCTCTGACATATGGGTGTGGCTCAGGAATGAGGGTCCAAAGTGGAGTGGTAAATAGAAAGGTAGACTCAATGTAGCGCATGGTACTCAAATTACACAGCAGCAACTTGTTGGTCAGGGCGCCGTCCCTCACCATCTGCACGCAGAATGGGTGGCAAGGCTGGTAAGTGGTCTGGGGAAATGACCAGTCATACCCTGAAAGGAAATTAGACACCGACCGAAAAGCTATCAGTGTCTGGTGTCGCCTTCGCATTCCGACGCCAGTCACGGGTGGCCAAACTCCAAGCTGGCACCATTGACGAGAATCCAACCCACTCCGAGTGTGTCTCAAGCTTGGTGCCCCTCGTGTTACGGCTACTGGCCAAGAGGATTCAGAGCAGGAGGGCTCATTCAATGAGCAAGCATTATGGTTCCCCAGCCCAGCAGCGTGATCCTGGTTGCAAATGGAACCCCTCTCTCAGGCTGATTGTGGTGGGAAACCTACCAAACCAAAAGGGACAAGGGAATCCACCCAACTGGGCCAAAACCAAGAAAAAACCATTGCCCAAGCTCTCGGCTTCTTCATTGAGCGCGTCCAGGAACTTCCCAGGCGCGCCTGGCTTTGAACTTCCCCCCCGAAGCCAACACCACAACTGGAACTTCGACTCTCGAGAAAAGCTCTCAAAACTTCCAAAACTCTAGCCAAAACTTCTGGGAAAAACTTCAGACACTTCTCTCAAAACCCCTGACCCCCTTCAAAACTTCAACTCTAGCCAACGTTCAACTATCTCGCCGCCTGTTGTTTCGTGACCCAAAAGCTCAGGGGGTTTTACGCCCACGTGGAGCCTGCAATTCTGGGTGTCCTGTTGCCCGAAGGCTTCATGGGCCGAAACATTGAGCTGCGGGTCATGCCTGTTGATTCCCACCGCATGTGGCCAAGGGATTGCAAGGAATACTGCTAAAAGGGTCGCACTGGAGGACTTGTTTTTCTTGCCACAAGTAGTAGAGACTAGCTTGCACTCCCAAACCCGAAACGACCCTAAAGAAGCCGATGCCAAATTATTACGTCACGAAAGCTTGACAACTGCACGTACAACCAAGCAGTTCCAAACCACTCTAAAGTGTCCGTCTCATACTCCCCCCCTCCACCAAAGGCGGGCAGAAGGGTGACCAAACTTGGCTGACCAAACAAACAATGATAAAAAATGCCTCTCGATGGTCCTTTGCGGCAAGCTCCTTTGTATTGGAACCTACTTAATAAAGAAAAAACACTCCGCCGGCGCCGCAGGTCATCAGCTCCACGGCCACGAAGGGGTACCGGAAGCACCGCGCGCTCGAGGCCTCTTTGGCTGTGATGGGACATGCGGGGCTCAGGGAAGTGAAGGTCTACTCACATGATCTTTTGCTTGTATGTATTTATGTATGTGTGTATGTATATATATATATATTAGCAGTTGGTGTTGTTGGTACGTGTTTTCTCTTCTTCTTTTTTTTTTTGGGGGGGGGGGGGATTTGTTCCTTCCTCCTTTCTGGTTTGAAACAACGCGAGCCCTAGAAGTGCCCGAAACTCTCTAAAAGTGGTCCCATGTCCCACAGAAGGGTATCGCAAGGTCAATGTCGGACAGGATCCATGATTCCACTTCTGGACTACCTCAGCTTGATTGGATGAGCCACGCTTCTAACTTCTAGGTCCGGTCACCGAACAGTAGATAGATTGGCGTGGATGCGATACCCCCCCCCACAAACACTTATGGTGGGGGAACTGGCGGGAAAGGGGGTCTGATTATTTTTTTAAGTAATCAGGGGGTCATCTACGGGGAGTCTCAAGAATTGATGTGGGGCTGAATGAGTACCAATCACTGTGTCATATGATTTCATGTCATAATGGTTGACTGCATCTCCCTGAATGGCAAGTAGTTTCACGAGGAAAAACAACAAAAAACACATTCTACTCCAACCATTCCCTCAGACCCCTCAATTCATGTCATAACAAGGGAAGGCAAGAAATCATAGGAAACCAGGGCAAACTAAGATAAGCGAGGAAATGAGAGAATCAATCGGGTGAGGCCTGTGCAGGTGCAACTTTCAGTCTTTGATTATTTGAATTTGCTCCCGTGCAGGGAATTTCTGTTGGGCAAAGCTACTTGAGAAACCACCTGTTCTGACTCCCTTTGCACCTTTTTGAGCTTGTTCAGGGACTCAGGCAGCCCCCAAGGAAACTACTGAACGGTGGTTTGTGCGTTTGGTTGAATTTGTTTGCAATTGTTTGCTATTCTGTGCCATGTGTCCTCTTGTCTGGTAGGATCCTCCAGTACTGAAGTACAGTCAGCCGAGCGCATGAGAAAACAATTCAGGGTTCCAGTCTCTGTCAAGGGCACCCCCGTACTTGCAATCAAATTTTGGTTTGAGGGGGCTTGGAGGCGGAGGAACCACTCACTCGACAAAACACAATATCTTGACCAGGGATCCTTACATTATACACCTGAACATTGCCTTGTGACAATGGTGGTTTCCCTTTATTTTGGTGGAAAACGCCATGTTTCAAATGGGCAACATGTATCTTTTAAGGAGCCCTGTTGAATTCAGGGGGATTCCAAGACAGTAGTCACTCCGAGCTGGACACACCGACCCGCTTGCCTCTGGCGAGGGTTCGCGTGTGATGAAATCCATCAGTACCTCAAACACGTGGCCGCCAGCTGGAAACACGAACAAAACCGCACATGTGCAAGGGTCGCACCCCCTGTTTACGTGTTCTACCACGATCCGTGCAGAAGTCTTGTAGGCCAACATGGGCCAACAAAGTTCAACAAAGTATTCTGGCGCAACTATGTGCCATGGGTGAAAAACTCCGGGGAGTTCCGGGGGATGGATGTGTCTCCCGACATGGAATCCCATATGGTCCAAGATGCCACTTGAGCGCAAAACCGTGGCTGATCGCGCCAATGAGTCCCAAAACACGTGGTGTTCTGACCCTGGTACACTCGGCACGGCTGAAGCAAAAAACCAGCTGTTGCGTTGATCAATCACGAAAAAAACATGCCCAGGAAACAAACGTGCAAGCGGCATTTCTTCAGGGCGTTCTAGCCGGTTGAGTTGCTTTGCAGCTTGGGGACACGGGTGAGTTTCCTGAGGAAACCGAAGCCTACGCGGAAACTCATCGCCAATGCAGAAACAAACGTGGCAGCGCCCCACCGCATTTGGGACAATGACTCAGGCGGCGTGAAGACAGTGTGATGATCCCATGGTTCCGGGAGCAACAAAAAGCAAGATGCATACAGCACCTTGTGCGTGGCTGGTGTCGCAAGTGTTTGGGCAACAATAAAAGACGGAAGTCTGATCTGGTCAGGCAGGCCTGCACCAAGTGAGAAAAATAACGTCGAGCTAAGACTGCTCAGTCGCCCGCGCATCCCCCGAGAATACTTGGCGCCCGGAGAAAACCGAATTCGCCTGGCTGCTCTAAAGTGGCAAAACGCCCCGCCAACTTCGAAACCGATGGGCTATTGCAAGAAAGAGGCCCTCGGAATATGCTCCGCAAATTCGCCTCGGCCCTCAGGGCCGGGAAGCGGTCAGACCCCCATTTAGATCAGAGGGATCTTCCCGAACCCCACAAACCGATTTTGGCTGTGCTCCAGCTGCCCCCACCTGCTTCCTGCATCCAGACTCCGTCCCAGCAGCCAAATTAGCTTTCGGCCAGTCGACCCAAGCTGCTTTGCCATGCTATCAACCGAAGCGGAAGGCTTAGAGCTTAATGGCTCAAGCTCAAGGCTCAGCTCAAGCCGACACCTCCCCGCGCACAGTTCAACTTGCGCCCAGCTTGCTTCGCCCCAACATCTCGTCACGCCCTCCAGCTCATTTCGGCCACCTCTGTGGCCGCTCCCCCACGGCTCGAGTTCAAGTTCCTGGCAATCATTTTGCGCTGCAGGCCTGGCATCAATTTGCTCAAGCCCGCATTGCTCTTGTGGTTTTCTTGAGTGTTGCGGAGCGTTTGCAACACTATCCCATCCTTGGGCGGCCAACCATTGGAACCATCCCTGACAAGAACTCCCTCTCTGCTGCGCCCAGCAACAGCAGCACCAGATGAAATCATCAACCCATAGGTGGACCCCATCACGTTCAACGCAGCCAGGCTGTGGAAGACACAAGAACAGGTCCCCTCACAAAGACCCCAATTGCTCGCGGGAGCTCCACCTGAAGTGAAGGCCTTCCCATGCCCGAGATCCGCGCCTTCAAGGCATCGGGCTCAGACAGCCGCGCCACCAGACTGGGGTTCCCCGTCTTGAACTCCTGTGCCCAACCCCCGAACGAGACGCTGCAACACGCCCAACAGTTTTTGGGGCTTCGATCGGCTGAGCGAGGAAAAAAAAAACTGACTTGGCCAGGCCTTGTGTTGGACTCAACTGCGGCGAACTGGGCTCGGCGGATGTTTGAGCCTCATGGGCCGTTGGAACATCCCAGGGCTTCATTTCAGCTCCAAGTGCAAGCTGCACCCGCGGCGCAAGCGCACATCCCCAGCATCGCTTTTGACACCGGCATCGCCAGACCGAGTTTAGGACGACGCTTGGGTTTCTTCAGGGCGGGTTCACGTTCGGTCGGCTTAGGGCTTGTACTTAGAGTTGGTTTGGTGCTGGTTTAGGGTGGGCTTAGAGTCGGGTTTGGGTTGGTTTATGGTGGGATTAGGGTTGGTTTAGGCAGGCTCCGTGCTGATTAAGGGTGGGCTCAAGGTTGGACAAGGGGTGCAGGTTTGCTTAGGGATTGTTTGGAGTTGATGTTTGGTGGTTTAGAGATTGTTTAGTGCCGGTTTGCGCTCGTTTTCGGGTGGGTTTAGGGCTGGTTTAGGGATAGTTTAGAGCTGGTCAGGGTGGGATCAGAGTTTGTTTAGAGTTGGTTCAGGGATGCTGTAGTGGTTTAGGGTTGATTGTTGGTGGACAAGGGATAGTTTGCTGCTGGTTTACGGTGGGTTGGCTTGGTGGGTTTAGGGCTGGTTTAAGGTTGGTTTAGGACTGGTTTAGGATAAGATTTACAGGGTTGCGTAGGATTTGTTTAGGTTTATGTTAGGGTTTAGGGTTGTTTTAGGGTTTTGTTTTGGGTAATTTTAGGGTTTTTGTTTAGGGCTGCTGTTTGGTGGTTTAGGGATTGTTGAGTGCTGGTTTAAGGCGAGTTACAAACAGGATCCTGGCAGTGATGCTACTGCGGGTTGGTGAGGTCCGACCGACCAGGGCCAATAGGAAAAGAAAATCTCAGGGCCCCCGTCCCACACCCCACACAACAATTGAACATATACCTTTCGAGATATGCCAATTCCGCGCAGGCGTGCAGCGGGGCATATGTTTGGTAAGGGCCCTTGCCGGATTTGTATGTTGCCTCGTGCGGTACCGGAGTCCCAGGCAGGGAACCATGGAAGCTGAAGGTTGGCAAGACAGGCAAGGTGGAAGGCCACGAACCACTTGCCCACTTGCGCCGGGAGAGTCCTGAATCACCTCCTCCTCATCAAGTAGTGCCTGACACCGAATGCTGATAGCAACCCCTGCCATCAGCCCTGTAGCTCATGAACAAAGCTTCTTGGGCTGAAAGGTCCAATTGCGACAAGGACGGAGGCCTTTCAAAGCTAGCGTCGTCGACGGTGCCGTGCCTCCCTAGACTTGGGCAAGCCAACTAGGCATGCAACTGACATGTCTGGCAACATCAGCTGCTGCCTCTAAGTGTGCATCATGCTGAATTGGGAATCTTGTTGGAGCCCATGGAAACCATGGCTGCCACAAGTGCTAACTCATCTGCTCTCCGGCCCCTCATGTTGGGCAAACGAAAAGGAAGGGGGTCCGAACCATTTGAGGCACAAGCCGGGTGAGCATTCGCCCACGGAACGCAACGCACAAATTAACTGCAGGGGGTTCCGCCCCCTCGCAGCAAGCCAAAGCCATTTCTGGGAGCCCTAGAATGACAAAGCCCACTCTGTTCATAGTGGCTGATTCGGAGAAACTGGAACGCTTGGACTCTTGCGGTCTTGGGGAAGCTCGAGGAAGCGAACCCCCTCTCCTCATGTACCCCGCCTCCACACTGCAGCCCGGCGTCTTCAGGAGCTTTTCCAGGGCTGAGGCCTGTCCACAGGTGGCTTCTTGGCCCATTGCCATTTCAGGGCAGTCAAGGTCACTGCTACCCTCCCACCAAACATGGAAGTGCACATTTGGTCCCTTTCCAAGAAAAAAGTAGTCTTGCAGGGCTCCGTGCACCTCCATGTTAGTCGAGAGGGTAACTCTTGAGGTCCCGAGTTCCTTGATCGCAACGCGTCGACCACTTGAAGCTCAGTTCCCGATCTCCTGACGCATGGATCACAAGACTCGATCGCCCCAACGCGGAGAAACCGGCTTCCGTCAGAATTGGGAACAACTACGACATGTGGTGTCGCTATGGTTTCCCTTCGGTTTCCCTTTCTTTGAACCCCCCCCCCCCCGAAAAACTGCCCGCTGGCCCCTGGCCTCAGGGGCACCGGCGGCACCGCCAAAGGTGGCCCAGAAAGACCCGCCCTCCTGCATCGCAACCTGAGATGCGTCTTCCCGTCTTCCCTTGTTGGTACCCCTTTCAGGTTGGTTCAATGGGTTCTCAAAATTCGGGAACCTAAATGGTTGGCCCTTTTCCTTTGAAAGCCAGCTTCAAATGAGTCGCAATCAAAACCTGGTACTAGAATGGTCTACCCCGAATCATGTACAGGACTAAGCAGGCGGCCGCAGCTATTTCTGGTTGGGATCGTTGCTTACTAACCCTCATCTACCCAGGTTTTGATTGTGGCTCAAATTGGGTTCTCAGAAGAGAACACACGGGCAAGCTGGCAGAACCAAAAGGTCAAGAAGTGGGCTTTTGGCAACTTGCCGGTTCTGAATGAGGGAATGGAATCCCAGCCAGTGTTCCCGCAAGGGGGGGCTTGTGTTTCTTCCCAATTCCAAAAAACCTGGTGGTTCCCTGCTGAGAATCGACAAGTAGATTCGTCTGCGAGTTTCTTACGGATCGGCCACAGGAGGGGAGCAGAAGGCAAAGGTTCGGGTCATGGGGATAGACAAACGAAAACAAACACAACGACGTGGATACGGCAAAGTGGCCATTGTTTGGACGGATCTGTCCAAGCTTCATGAATCGCCGGCCCAAAATGGCCGACTCTGTAGGGAAACACTGCGACATGGGCCTGCCTTCCCACACCCACATAGTTGCGAAGCTGCCACCCAGAAGTTGTTACGGATCAACTTTCTTTGTCAGGGGAAACACTAACACGTGGCTTGAATGATCGGCATAGGATAGATCAAGCGGGGAAGCAAGAGTAAGTCGATTCCGCCACATGTTCAAAAAGCCCCGGCCCCTCAGTGCCTCCAGCCGTGCGCATGGAAAACTGGCCCTGAAAAGGGCACCTACGAGCCTGTGCCGTGCCAGCGCAACATCCACCAGTGAATTACAGAAGCGCTGTGACCGCATGAGAAAGGTGAAAATCATGAATCAGGCACGAAGCGGGCAAACCTCTATGGTTGCCTGGCTGAAGGGAACTTGTTTGTTTTCCCCAATTACAATGGTATTCTAGCACCACACACGTCAACAGTTACAAGCGAAATCCGAACGAAGCGTTGGTGTCTCCAGGCCAAATCTTGGCTCGTCTATGATGTGTCCCTTACTGATCAGGCCTCTGGTACCTACTGACTATGTCGAAACACGTCCATCACCAAGTCTGGCCCTTTCCAACGCCCTAACCTGCGCAGAAAGGGGCAACCAACGTATTCCATCTGCAGGTGCAACACGGCAATCCGAGTCTTCCTCCAAAAGAACCCAATGCGTGGTTCATAGCCTGGCTTGCGCAGTGGCCTTGCAAACAAAGGAACCCCCTTTGGTTGACAACTGTTCAAAGATCAACCTGCACAAAACACAATGCCAGTGGACAACTGGTTCTATAAAGTCCTCTTCCATACCGTAGCACTGCGGCACTTTTCCGCGGCGGTTGCTCAGCAATTCCGCAAAGTGGATGTCTTTGTGTACAATCTCAGAGGCAGCGAAGCACAAAAAGCACCAGGCACTGCAACCGAGGCCTCATCGGGTGTGTTGGGCAAACAGCTGAGACCATTTTGTGCAAAATGTCATCGCACATGGGATTGCTTGCTGCGCGCAAGTGAGACTTTGGTTGAAGCCGCAACGGCGCCGTTGGCAAAATTGTAGCTTTAGCAATTAGTTGAAATCCCCACACGCTGCAAGTCCGGCATTCGCTCTTACTGTACCTGCAAATGCCTACCGCTGGGGGCTGGTTACTTGCGCTGTTTGGGAACTGTCTTTCTCGGCTCATGCGGCTAAAGGTCACACCAAGGGCAACCAAGCTGCGCACAATTCAAAGGTGTGTGTGTGTGTGTATGAAGGATGCCATCGGCCGGTAAAACTTGCGCTTCCTTGGGAAGCTCGAAGATACCTGGATGGCCATCCAAAGTCGTGTCAAAGTCAGGGACGCTGCAAAAGGAATCGTGTTGGTCTGGTTCTTAAGGCATTTTAGCAATGCCATCCAAGTGACTCCCTAGACATGAAGGTATCGGGGACGCTCAAAGTACTCTCTCAGATTTGCCTGAAGATGGTGGTTGTCCTGCAAGCCAGTGCCAATGGCAATACAAGTAACGCACAGCGCATACATGCCATGGCCAACAACATCCTCATGTGGGGCCGCTTCATTGTTGACCTTTTTAGACTTCAATGGAATGAAAGGGGTCATGACTGATTCCTGTCATGGTCATCCCATGTCCCTCAGGCCTGATTTTTCAATGGTGGCCGCGGCCAGTAGTGTGAACTTAGCTACCCCCTACGTAAGTAGCATACACAAGTCCCAGTGGAAGAGCTAGGGCTTCCGATCTGTGGATCCATTACGCATCAACGGATAATGCAATGCCTGGAAACTCGGTGAAAGCCATGCCATTCACAACTCCTTTGCTGATCCGTGGCCACCCACAGAAGAAACAAACCACTGCGATGTATATCTATTTTCATGCCTGAATCGCCAACGTGCTTCCACATCCCGTCACTTGCCCGTCCTTTGCAAAGAGAACATGATGCCTGCCATCCCACCTGCGCAGAGGGCGTGCTGCGAGAAGTCAACAGCTTGTCAAAGCGGCTTGCCAATGCTCTGAATGCAATGCCATCCCTACAAAAGCTGTAGCAAGTGAAACAATACCTCCATGTTCAATAGTTTGAAAGGTCAAACAAACGTCAGCAAGGCCGCCTAAGACCATATCACACGCTTCGACGGCCGGGATGTGTTTCGACATGTCATGGTCCTGTGGTGCAATGTTGGAGTGTTTTTGGGCAAACATGTTATGGATGTTCAATTGTTGAAGGATTGTTGGTCGGTTGTGACACACACCTTGCACACTGATTTGGCCGTCTGTCTTCTTACTTCTTGGAAACCATGAGTTTCGGTCAGAATGTGCTGTTGCGCGCAATGGACATGGGAAAATCAATTGAGGAATCCCCCGAGCCTTTGTCGGACACTCAGTGAGTCCATCCCACGTTGAAACTGATGAAAGTTTACAGCCCACATTGAAAGCATCTCCTCTGCAAATCCGGCTGTCTGGAAACCTCCAATTGGGTCCTTGTCGCTCGTTGTGGTGAAAGGGCCGTCCTTGGCTCACTTGCTCATCCCTGAAACGCAGCCTGCGATTTTTGGATGCGAGTCTGCCTTGTCTCCCTCTTCTGCTCCCCTGTCAGCTTCGGGGCGGAGTAGTTCCTGCGATTGTTCCGCTCGTCCAAAGCTCCCAAACAAAAACCGTTGTGACCTCAAACCCCAAACCCTAAACGTCTGAAAAAGAGCCTGGTTTGTCTGTGGGTGGTTAAGCCATCGCTGCTCTAATCTTACACAATCAATCAAGACATGGCTTGAATGAGACATACTTGGCCCGTTGATTCATGCGACACAGTCCACTTCACCATTCCAACTTGACATCTCTCCAATCAGGGATCGCGCTTTTTAGGTGGTTTCAACGGGCGACCGAACGGAGGTCAAGCGTCTGGCTTCACCCATCAAGACAGTCACTTCTTTACTTCCGACTGGGTCCACCTTTGCAAGCAGATCCGGCGTTTGCCATCAACACGAACCCAAAGACACTGTTCTCGCAAGCCATACTGTGGATGGACGAAATCCTGCACCACCTAAGAAACCCTAGAATGAGAAGATCCCCTGTAAATACCAACAAAGAATGGTTTCCCATGGTGTCTTGGGTGGTGCAGGATTTTGTCCATCCGCAGTAGCCCGCGCTGCAATCTGACGGCCAGAACAGCTGGCCCGCTCCTTGAGAACGTTGCCATCCGCTCGAGGTTCGCAGCAGACGTAGGGGACACCGCCATCTGGAGCATCCCAAAAAGGCGAACTGGGGTTGGGTCACTCAGCTTAAAACAAAATGAAGGGCATCACGGGGGAGGGGTTCTACTTCCTGCCCTAAAGCAGCTGTCCTCCCGGCCCGTTTTGTGCACTCGCAGGGGTTACGAATCATTGTTCAGCCGGATCCTGCAACTGTTGTGAATGCTTCATCTGGGCGTCATCCTGTGGGATTGGTGTGTCCTTGCAAGACAAAGCAAGATCTTCAGAAGGATGGCCGCCCGTGAATTGGAGAACAGTCTCAGCTTGCGGAAAATTCAGGGCATGCTGAAGTTCTGCTGAAGAAGCTACAATGGCAAGCAGGCAACTTGGGCAACAACTCGTACACATGGGAAGACGCATACACAAAGGGAGAGTCATGCACTTGGCTGGCGCTCGCGTTCTGTCGCTCCGGCCCCTCCCCTTCCCTCCCCTCCCCTCCCTCTCTTCCCCCTCCCATCCTCCGCGCGGGCAAAATGCATCATGCGCGTGGCTTCAATCACTCCGGGGTGTGGAACTAGGCTAAAAGCATATACACACTCGCGCACACGCAGACAAAGAGAGAGAGAGAGAGAGAGAGAGGGAGGGAGGGAGGGAGGGAGGGAGGGAGAGAGAGATAGAGAGAGCCTGCAGGGGCAAGAAGCACAAATGGCCCGTGTCTAAAAGCATCTGAAACACCAACTACCAATTCACGCCAAACCGACTTGCCTGCCCAAAGAAGTCCAGAAGCCAAGCCTCCAATAAATGGAAACCGCACCCAAGCATTCCAACCTTCGGAGGCGTAAAGGTCCCAACGTTGCCCAGGGACTCTGTCTAGGATTAACCAGTTGTGAGACCCACCGAACAACAAGGGGAGAAGTGGCGCATCTTCAGTTTCGCCATCTATGACAGGTATTTGGACCTCCGCCCTGTTCGCTATTGTGCCCCTTGCAGGAGAAAATGGCTCTCTCGCGTTTGGGCTAGAGCCTCGTGCCTTTTGCCCCTCTGAAGGCCACACCGTTTGCCGGGATTCGGTACCCGAACAAGGCGAACCTCCCTGCAAGCCGCTGGCTGCGCTCCCAGAAGTTCCCCTT